GGGATGTGTTAATGATGTGAGTGAGTGCAGGTACAACTGCAGGAGAAATGGCTTGAAGAAGATGAGATGGAATAGGATCAAGCGGACAAGTAGTAGGATGATTAGAAAGGATGAGTTTGTAGACTTCTGCCTCAGAGAGTGAAGAGAAGGATGTGAACGAGTGTATGTTTGCTGGTAAGATGTGCTTATATATATCTATTCTATTTATCTGGAATGACACTTTGTGTGCCACCCCCTTCCCACAGCACCCTTCAAGGGTGCAAAAAAGGCCATTAGGACTTTTCCCAGATTGTCAGTCTATGCATTAGATGGGGATATTTTGTCAAGGACCTCTTTCACGAAGGTTATATTGTTACATCATAAGGTGGTGACAAGTGACTGTATTTATGAGTGAGTCATTGACTCATTCACTTAACCAATTTGTTTAAAACTGATTCTTTCACAAATGAAACTCAATGAAACTTTCTATCTTTCTTTAATAAAAAAGACATGTAATGTATTGGTAAACAGTTATTTTTTCTTTAATTTCTTTGTCTTTACAGTCTCAATGTGTCAGATTAAGAAGAAGAAAATATACATTTAATTGGACTTTTGACTTAAAACCTCCTAGTTACTAAAACAGACTGAAGCAGTGACAAATTATCCTTGTCATTTACTATATAGATGATGAGAGTAATAAAACTACCATGCTATCATTGCATTTTCTTAGATCAGCAGAAATCATGAAACAATAACAAATGGACCTGGGTGGGGACAATGCACTCTCACAGATTTATTTGACAACAAACATTTTGTATATAGATTTAACCATTTCTGCTGTGAAAATACTGAATAAATACCCCAGTGAAGAGAGAGGCTACTTCCCAGAGAACATTTCCAACCTATTTTGCCCTCATTTTCCCATCCACTCTGATGGCATTGCGTATGTGAGACTTCAGGAAAGGGCAAAGTTTATCAGCACTAAGCTGACTGACAGCTCAAAGTAAGCTGTAACTCTATCCACCAAATTAGATTTCTTCCCAAACAGTGTCAGACCTGACAACAGAGGAATGCTCTTTCATACATATTACTTGGGATTTGCAGCCCATTTCATTCATGTACCCAGCTTATTTCGCTAATATTACATATTTCTAAGTGAAACCTGTTGTTCAAGAAGAAAAAAGTAGGACGGGATCTGACTGTGATTGGATGGTAAAAAACATGCATTACATACCAGTGGATTGTGAAAGACTAGTCCCTCTTGAAAAGCCATCAGCATCTGCTTTTGAGGGGGGAGTTTTTGACAGTGATGTGGAGGCTGACGGTCAAGTTCATCCTTCAGAGTAATGGTAGTGCTTCTTTTAAAAATTGCAATTTGCTAGTGTACAAAAGTTATTTCTAGTTCACAATTTTGATTGGCAGAGCTATTTGTATCACTCTGCGTTTGCACGTACTATACAGAAGAATTCCAGTTGGAAATTGTTTCTGCTCACTCAATTTGGGAAGGTTGAGAAGTCTACCTCACATGAGAGTAGACAAATGCGGTTACACTTTATTTTAAGGTGTCCTTGTTACAGTGTAATTATACATTTAAGCATGGAGTAATATTAATTAACTACATGTACTTAATATATGGTTAGGGTTAGAATTAGGGTTTGGCTTAGAGTTACTTTCTTTCTCATTCTGAGCGTGAGTTCAGCTCAGTTGTTAATATTTCATGTGCCCTTTGAAGCGAGGCAGTTAAAAGCACTCAGGATAATCAAGCTCAGCTGAAGATGAATTCTTGCTCTCTGCCACCTGCGACAGTAAAAGCTTCATACTGGAATTTAGGGTAAAGGGCAGAAAGCAGGCCTGAGTGAAGTAAGTCAGAAAAGGCACTCAAATGGACCTACTGATGAAGTTTGCATAGTATCCATCCTAACTAGTATACACAATTAGAGTCAGTAAGTAGAAAATAATGTGCAAAAGATACCTGGATGCTTTATAATTCCTGATGACTTTTTGAAGCGTGCATCTGTGCATGCCTTTTGGGCTGATATTATCCAAAATTCCTTGCACAACAAAAGATGATTAGTTTGTTAGGATTTTGTTTAGAATTGTTTAGTGTAAAAAGTTGTGATGCCTTTGGAAATAATACATCAACTAAAGCTATGCTAACATAAAGAGCATGTCACAGAGGTATGTAGTATCAAGACCCATTTATATTGGCGTCTTATTAGATACTTCAATAGATACTATTATAGAATTAAGCAATAATACATTGACAGTCAGGGATCAAATTAACTGCTTTAATCACAATTAAGGTTAATTTGTGAAATATGCCTGTACTAGCACTATAGCCTCAAGATATAAAGCAGTAGAGTAGTGCAATTGTAAAACAGCGCATACGTTATGCGTAATACTTATTTTTACACTTTATAGCTAAACTTAAAAAAAAAAAAAGTGTTAGTATATCATATTATACTTTACCTCACATGTTGTGCTTGGCATGAGAAAAGACAAGATATTATACAACAAAAATATAAATTCAGAGAGCTTTTATTTTTACAGCTTCAATTTTTGTCCAGTGTCTCAAAACATAAAAAATAAATACGGCTATGTCATAAGAAATCCAGTGTCTTTTGTTATGAAAAAATGATTTAAAACACCTGCAAGTCTTTTTCTCTGCTGTTTCTTTGGAATATGAATCGTGAACTGTCATTTAATTACAAAATAAAACATCCATTTTCATTTCCTTGAGTCTAAGGGCTATGTCTTCACAGTTCAAACGTTATTAAACATCGCCACTGAATATTGTCAAAGGTGAACAGTAGACTTTTAGTCTTGTGTTTTGGGACTACAGCACCATAGAAACCCAAATTATTAACTCTGCAAATCAAGTACAAAACATTATTGATTTAACCACATTGGATAAAAAATGATCTTGTATTAAATGTTATTAAAAATGCTTTTCAATATACAAATGACCTTAAAATATTACAATTTCAAAAGAACAAACAAAGAAATATATATCTACACAGTAATTACATGAGAAACATATTAGTTACGAGACGGATCTCCTCAATGAGGACAGGCCGAGCCGGGCACTTGGTGAAAATTTCAGCATTCCGTGATTTACTTTTCATAATCAGAAAATGTCTCTACACAGTTCCACACTTGCACAGCTTTAAGAAGCACTAGTGCTAAAACGTACAAAATTACACAAAGTCTTATGTGTCTCTTCAAGTCCACCTGTCACTCGGTCAGAGCTTGCCGCTCGGCATGCTGGGAGGGTTGTAGTCCCACGTCTAGTGGTTTGGCACAGTTTCCATATATCCTCGCTGACCCTGTCTTGCATATTTACATACATTCCCTTTTCTTTCCTTATCATTTGTTTCACAGGCAGACGTCTGCAGTAATACTGTTTTCCGATGGAGCCTGGACCCCAGGGACACGCTGGAGGGCAAGGTGCACCTATAGGGAGGGTCTTTGGGTAATCCACTGTCATTTTCCACATTCCTCCCACTGTCAAGGGCTGATATTCTCCCCTCACGAGGGCAGAAGTTCCTCAGGTTTCCTGCTGGGTCAGATTGATGTTTCATTACTGCCGCTGTAGTGAGCAGAAAGGGAGAGAAAAGGAAGGAGGATACATGCGGGTTAGAAGGGTGTTTGGGCCAAGTACAGCAGCCGCATGCCACATGAACAACAGGTGTAAAGAAGACATTCATTGTTTCGACACACATGCTTCAGTAGACACAAAGAGCTGAACAGAATTGGAGGGCTCACTTTTCAAAAGCATGCAAAAACAAATGGCAGTTCATTTTGAAAAGGTGTTATTTTATCTTCTTTTTTAAATATATAATGCAGAGATATTTGGTATCACTACCAAGTTGAAGTGAGAAAAAATAGTAGTGATATCAGTCTTTCTTCAGTATCGCTATTATCAATTAAATTCAGAGTAATTTATTTTTTTTGTAACATTTTGCAATATGGTCTCATATGTTAACAGTAATTAATGCATTAACTAATCTGAATTTGGAGTAAGCAATATCGCACAGAATTTCTTAAACATAGTTAAAGGGATAGTTCATCCTTTACTCACCCTCATGTCATTCCAAACCTGTATGAGTTTCTTTCTTATGCTAAACATAAAAGAAGATATTTTAAAGAATGCTGGTAATCAAATAGTTGTTGGTCTCCATTGATTTCCATAGTATTTCTTTCCCTACTATGGAAGTCAATGTTTGGTTCTTCAAAATATCTTCTTTTGTGTTCTATATAAGAAAGAAACTCATACAGGTTTGGAACAAAATGAGGGTGAGTAAATGATGAAATTTTCATTTTTGGGTGAAAAAATTAAAATGTAAAATTAGTTAATAAAAATATGTGTTCATTGTTTTGTCACGTCAACAGATACAACTTATGCTCTTAAAAATTTTACGGCAAATGTTCAAATTAATATGAACTAAGATTAATAAATGCTGGCATAAATAATGTAGTTAACAAATGTTAACAAATGAGGCCCAATTGTAAAAAGCTACCATATTTTATATTGAATTCTGAGTGAAATATGATCTGGACAAAATTCTACTACTAAAATAATGCTTTTATTTTTGTAATGGATAAACAAATAATAAATAAATAAATAAAAAAAGTTTTGAGTGAAACAAGATGCACGACAGAAAGGTGTCTTACTCAGAGTCTGACTGGTTGCCGCCGTTAACGGTCCCTGATCTCAGATTCATGGCCATGCCGTTCTGCTGCTCTCGTGGTGGGACGGCTAGCCGATGAGGGGGCTTGTTTAGGACATTGTGACCATTGCCCCCATCATTAGAGGCTATAGAAGGCGCTCTGGAGGAGATGGTGGGTGGGTTGTAGTCCGATAACTTCTCCCTAAGTTTGTTTTTCATGTTTTTGTCTGTCAGTGGAGGAGGATATGTGATCTTATTCTTTAGAATCCCTATGAGGAGAAAGTACACGGGAATATTAGTATATATGTAGAATGTATAACACAGAGGCAACATCAAATCACAATTTGACTTGATGTTAATTAACTCTCACCCTTCCTCTGTTCAGGCTGGTGGTTGCTGTTGGCTTGGATGGAGGCTGTTGGGTGGTCTTGGTCCTGAGTGGTCTCTCCAGTGTGATTGAGTTTATTTTCCTGATGGAGCTCCACGTTAACTTTAGTCTCCACTCTCAGTCTCTCTGCCCCTGCGGGATCTTCACTGTCACTGGCTGTCATGGCTTCAGTCGGCCAGTAAGGCTTCACGTGATTGGACACAGTGTCCACTGAGACACAGAAGAAGAGGTTAATGTTATTTGACACTTCACTTAACTTGTAAATGCATCCATCAATGTCAGATTTCCATATTTTAATGCAATTCCGAAGGCAAAATACCTTCTCTTGTACCCTTTGGAGTGCTGTGTAATGGTTGTCTTTCATTATTCCACTTTGGCTTCATGTCCATGTCTTCATCTTCACTGTCGGACGAGTGAGAGGAGGCGTATGAGCTGCTGTGTTCATCCACAGAGAGCTCGCTGTCTGAATCTGAGTCTGAATACACACAAATATATGTCAGCTCTTTATTTGAGGTGACATACACAGTTTGGCAGTTCACAAATATAGATGTCACACTACATTGGGCTTGTCTACATGTGGATAACAGGCAGTAAATAAACGTATTAGTGTTGGCTTGAAAACGTTTTTCAACTTTTTCTTACCATCTGCTTTAGTGCCGTTACGGAAGAGTGAGCCGTCAATGTCAGTGTGTCCGGCTTTAGCATTTCCAGATGAAACACTGGGCTTCTGACCCAATTCATCCCTGTGTAGAAGTGAAATCAGGAGAATGATTGATATTCAAGACAGATGCCAAACACATGACCTCTAGTTGCAATGAGTTTTAGATTGCAGTGAAAAAACTAAAAATTAATAACCCATATATAACTAACTTCATATCGTCTGGCTCAAATTCTTGTTGTCTAGAGCAAGTGGTTCTCAAACTGGAGTACATGAGATGACGGTGAGGGGTACGCGAACAAAATTCTGAGTTTTGGCATTCATTTAATACCCCAACTTAAAGCAACATTAAAACCGAACGTATTTCTGACAACTTCCAATAACACAATATGACTAGCCTATATATTAAATGTTTAAATTATACACTATACTTTTCAAAAGTAGAAGTCTCACCTAGGTGTTATGCTCACCAAGACTGTATTTAATTTGTTGAAAATACAGTAGAAACAGTAATATTGTGGAAATATTAATATAATTTAAAATAACTGTTTTCAATTTTAATATATTTTTAAATGTCTCTCTTTTAAATTAGTGTAATTAATTTCCACAAATCAGTCCCTCTGAACTGTCAATAAATCAATTCAAAATGTGATGCAATGATTTGTTGTATATATATATATATATATATATATATATACTGTACACACACACACATTTTACTGTTTATTACTATGTATATTTATACTGTAGCATGAAATTAAAGCAAGAAGCCCCAATAAGCCGTTGTTTACAGTGAATTTATAACAGCAAAGGGGCATTGTTAGGCATGACGCGAAGCAGAGTTACCAAACAATGTAGTTCCTCAGAATCAGTTGTGGTTGCAACAAAGTGGTTGCCGAGCAACACACAAACGTAAACAAAGGTGTATGTTTGTAGAGTAATTTACAACAGCTTCGAACATGGCTCAGCCAATCAGAATCAAGGACTGGAACTATCTGTTTTATAAGAAAAGGTTAAACATCATGCTTCCTAGTGCTTATTGTAGTAAACATTCTACTGAAGTATTATTATTTTTTAAATTGATTTTTATTTTATTTTACTTTACACATTTTAGATTTGCTTGGCAACAATGGCTGTTTGAGAGCATATACTTATCAAAATGCTGAAACCTGTTAATTTAAATTAATTTATTAACCTATATTTCCCAGTCTTACTTAGTGTTATTTTAGCATTATTTATATATTATTATAGCATTATCTATTATTGTTTTAGTAATCTGTGTTTTTGTCATTTTATTAGTTTTTGTTTGATGTAATATTTCTATTTAGTTTTATTTCTATTTCAGATTTAGTACTCCAGTATTTATATTTAATTTTAATTAAGCTTTATTTGAATTGCTAAACTATTTTAATAGGTTTAATATTAGTTTAAGTTAAGAATAACAACACTGGTCATACTGTGAGCTAATTAGTTGGTCAATCTGCTATTATGCTATTGAGGTGAATTGTGCCTTCGAGATAGCATACGTCATACCATAATATTGAACCCTGTCAACAAATTCAAATTATTTAGACATGATGATACATGCTTTGAAAATTACTAATGAACTGAATCTATAAACAGAGCATGCCTGCGTTCAGTGTACACAATACACATGCATACACAACATTCATAGGAATACATGCAAGAATGTGTTTTGGAGTTTGTGTACATTATCGCAGCACTGCAAAGCAAAGCAGAAGCAATGCACCTTTGCTCATGCATATGAAAAGAGAAAAGTCATTTGAATAAAATAGAAAGTTATTAAAGTGTTATCAATAGGATGAGAGAAAGTGAAATGTTACATAATGAGAGCGTAGCGCCATGCCCCAGCAGTAGCATGTTACCTGTGCGTGTAAGTAAGGTAGCTGCTGTGACTCTTGGCTGACCTGACTGTGCTCTCCAGAGACACCGTCGACTCGCCGATGGCAGAGCGGTACAGCGTGCCGTCCTCCATGTATGTGTTATTACAGTTTAATGTACGCTAAGGACAGGGAAAGAGCACAGAACTGTAAATCAAGCAAAATAATACATTTCCAAATGCTAGACCACTTCACAGCTTCCTTTGATGCCAAATTACGTGAAATTACTTTCTTATTGCTTGCAAATTACTTAAATGACTTCCTTATTAATTTGCTACTACAAGATAAACTGACATTTAAACCGATCCTAACTGCTGTTTCTAGACCTGTGAAAAACAATGAATGTGTAAATATTTAATAGCATAAACGTGTTGTAGTGACTTACTGTAAGTAGGGTGGTGCGTGTGGCGCTGGACTCATCAGGTAACGGTTTCTTTCCCGTGAAAACGTTTTTTAGATTTTTCCTCACCTCTTTATTGAACACGATGTGGAAGAGGAAAATGAATATGCCCTGAAAAACAAACAGGAAATGGTTTATAAAGGGATAGTTTACTAAACAGTTCCTGGTAGGCATTGTCTTCTATAGTATAGGAAAAAAATACTATGGAAGTCAATGGCTACCCAGCAGGCACACGACGTCATAAGACATTGGTATTTGGTTAAATTTTGGTTGCTATGTTGGGTGACGATGTCAATTCAATGTCTAATGTCAATATTAATTTGATGTCCAGTACTGACGTCAGCTGATGCTGCTATTTGTAGTTTTTAGGTTGTGTAACCAAAATTGATGCCAAATTGGCGTCAAATACTGACGTCAGCCTGATTTTTATTCTTAACTTTCTTCCAAATATCTTCTTTTGTGTTCAGCAGAAGAAAGAAACTCATGCAGGTTTGGAACAACTTGAGGGTGAGTAAATGATGACAGAATTTTCAAATCGGTTTTCAAATTCAATTTTCAGTTTTCAATTTTTGCTATGTCCTTTTTTATAATTGTTTTAACATTTCTATTTATTTGATTTTAGTTTTAGTGTTTGTAATTGTATTACTTCAATTTAATTTAATTTAATTTATGCATTTAGCAGACGCTTTTATCCAAAGCGACTTACAGTACATTTAGGCTATACATTTTTTACCAGTATGTGTGTTCCCAGGGAATCGAACCCACAACCTTTTGCGCTGCTAATGCAATGCTCTACCACTGAGGAAAAATAATGCACACCCGAGGTGTAGCGGCCTCACCACCTCGGGTGTGCATTATTTGTCTAATAATTCAACGGCCCGTCGTCAATTATTCCTTACATAATAAACAATTTAAACTTTTAATTTCAACAAGTTGCTAAGGCAATATTTCTAATTTTTACATTTTCTAAGTGTACATTTTTTTCATCTAATATTTATATTTTAATACATTTCAACTTAGTTTCTATTACAGAACTTAACTTTTACTTTTAGTTAACAATAACAACACTTGTTGATGTATTAAACACATCCTGCATCTGCACTGCAGTCTGCAAGATTTCCGTACACAAGAACACACATAGAGGTTGTTTAGCGCTTTTGCATGTATAGCGAGCCTTACTATGAACAATAGTTAAAATTATGCTTGCCTTATTAGTCTGTTTTGGAAAAACTGAGGTCAAGAATAGAACAACTGTTACCTGCAGACAGCTGAAGATGGCAAACAGATAGTGGAAGGTCATGACATTACTGTTAACAGCCATTAAACCCAGCAGCCAGGTGGCGCTAATGAGCAACAGGAGCAGAAAGGCCATCCGCAGAGCAGGACTGGAGCACATGTAGAAAACCACAATAAGTACCATATTTCATAAAACAATCCTCATAAAATGCTCTCAAGGGACAGGGTAACACTGTCTTACATGACTCCAGACTTTTCATAGGAACGTTGCCTACGGCCACACGACGCCTTTGCCGCCAGCACAAAGATAATGATGTTGACCTGTTTAAGGATTATGACATATGATCAGCTGAGTACGGAGAATGGAATGAGACTAGTTAGAATGATGAACAAATGATGAGTAGATGGACTTACCAGCACCACTAAAGCGATGGGTCCTGCAAAACTCCAGATGAGGGTGTCGTGGACGGACAGCCAGCAGAAGTCAGGGTTCCCATATCCTTGAGGATCCAAGCCCACAGCCAAACCTGATGGGACACAAACATCAATATAACTTTTACAACATCTTAAGAAAACATACTGTTGTGGGTGGTTGCCAGGGCATTGTTAAATACCTGTAATTTCTGGGGTGTTGCTTAGTGGTCGCTATAGTGTTCAGAGTGCTATTAAAGTGTTGCTATGCTGTTGAGGTTGTTTGGAGTTGCTAAGGTGTTCTGACTGGTTTCTAAGCATGCTGCTTTAGTGTCCTGAGCATAGACTGTAAAAAAAAAGATGAACGACGTGTCTTCCTTCTACTATAGATAAGTGAAGCCAAAACATCCCAGGTATGGTCACTGTCATCTTGCGCCAGTGGCATCATTTAGAGACTGACATCGTGTCTACATCAGACGTGAGTGGCACGATGCAACGCAACAAAATACTATAGAACCCATTATAATCAGTGATGCTGTCTACACTGGATGCGGCGCGGCGCAACAAATCCCCAACAGTAAATTGATGCCGCGCTCTATTTATGACGTACTGACACAACGTTCAAATGAGTTTTAACGGTCACTTTGTCACGTCCAGTGTAGACAGACTTTAGCTGTTGCGTCGCAACACGACAACGGTGTACACAGTGTGAGTCTGCGCAGTAGTGCTCGCGAGGTGGAGTGCAGTATCACAATCCTACCCAAACTCCCACAAACCCAATCACAAGCACTTAATCATGACACCACATCCCATATTTATAGCATCAAAAAAGCAAACCTTTTAGAAAAATGAACACTGGAACATACATCAGCATGATAAGAACTACCTAAAATGATGGGAACCATCTTTGGGAAAAAATTATTTGACATGTAATTTGATTTTTTAATTTGGCTCACGTCCCATTTGTTTACATGGAGAGGACATAGTTTATAAAACCCAGTCAGCCACCAGGGGGCGATTGAAATGTTTTGGCTTCACTTTTCAGGACATGTGAGTCACACTTGGTCCTGAATGACTGCTATGGCCCTGTCCCAAATCACACCCTAAACCCTCACAGTCTTTCTCTGAGTCCACACTTTCGTGACGTAATGGCGCTTTGACTGTTGGGTAGAGATCTACAGTGAAGCTTGCCTCAGTGCGGGTTGAGCAGAAGTGTGCAGCTAGGGCTCATACTGGCGCCAAGGAGGCGCTTGCGAGCACCCTTCTGAAAGTTAAAATGACAAATGGGACACCCTACAGTCTCATGGACTTAAAAGACACATGCACTTGGCGGCCAATGTAAGTTCGCAATGTGATCACTTAGAAAAGTAACAGCATACTTCTCCTCTATAAGCAGAACAGAGCAGGATGAGTTACACACTGAAGTCTGTTAAAATCCCTAAGCAACAGTATGAGCAATGAATTACAGAATGGAGTAAAGAAAGCAAGCAGCCATTCATTAAGCTGGGAGGAGCAGAGAGGAGTCGGGTCAGCCTCTATTATCTCTTGGATAGGGGCTCTTTCACCGCTTTGAGCATGTGCCAGTGGAGAAAGTGACACCCATTATGGAGAGCAGAGCCATCGGAGAGAAAACAGAGAAAGAAAGAAAAAAGAGCGAGCAAGAGAGCGAGAGGTAGTAATATGAAGACATTGGCATCCTGTCTCGTTCCCACAGGGATCACACACACACCATCCAAAAGAATGGGCGAGTCCAAGCACGACGACATGAATGCGTGTGTGTGCTGGTTTACAAACATTTCTAATAGTCTATTAGGGAAATTCATGAGCTGAAGGTGTGTATCCGTGTTGACACAGTGGACTTACGCTGAGCGTACAAATATGAACCTGGACAGACACTGGGTTGGGTGTAATGTATGTACATGAAATAGTAATTAGTGAATAGACTAGAGAGGGTGTGTGTGTGTGTCTCTGACCTGTAATAATAGCAGGTATCCCCCAGCCGATGGCGTAGTAGAAGCGCATGTGGCCGTGGTTGATGTTTCTGACTTCAGTGAGCATACGGTAAATGTGCAAACCCTCCACAAATGTCCAGGCAAACGTGCACATGTAGAAGTAGTGCAAAAGAATGGCTATTACCGTACAAACAAACTAGAGAGAGAGAGAGAGAGAGAGAGGGAGAGAGAGAGAGGGAGAGGGAGAGAGAGAGAGAGAGAGCGAGAGAG